GTTGTGGTGTACTCAGCCCTTAGGGCCCCCCTCCAGGGTCCCCGCTTACTTTATATGTTTTAGGATGATGTATGATACGTGGCATGCGGTCAGACTAGGATGACTCTCTTTCCGAGATATTATGAAGCACCACTTTTATTTTGTGGTAGCTATCATATTCTTTCTTATTTTATTTTGTTGGAATTACTCCAAGTGTTGGTTCTATTCTTTGGTACAGAGGCTTCATAGATAGTTGTGAGTTTGTAAAAATAGGATTGTGGACGTCATTCATAAAGGAATAATCATTTAATTTGATTATATCATTTTTATGAAAGGTTTCATGTATGACTTTGGAAATGAAAAAATATGTTGTGACTTGATTTGAAAATGTACAAGATTTTCAATTGGCTTCCGCAATTATACTTGGTCTTGATATATGGGTTGGTTCACTCGGGTCGGGTAGTGTGCCGGGTGCCGGTCACGTGAATTTGGGTCGTGATAGTTCTCTTCTTGATTGATGTCAAAGGGAGAGATGAAAAAGAGTACAAAGACAGGGGGAGGAACAAACAAGGCACAACAAAACTTAAAGACAGGGGGAGCAGAAGTACACTCGTAAAGGGAAGTATCCCCAAAATTAGTCGAACTCTTTTTAGATTAGTGTCATCATCAAAAAGGGGGAGATTGTTAAGTTTAGAATTTTAATAATAATCAATAATCTAAAGAAACCTTGACTAATGACATCTCATTGTGTGCAGATTCTATGATCAAGAGCAACGACATTGATGAAAGGAAAGAAGATCATATGGGAAATCAGAGAAACTCAACGGCTATGTGTTTTGAACTTTACATCAAATGGAAAGAGAATCAATCAATCAAAGAACAAAGAAGGAAAGTCAATCAATCAGACTTGCTAAAGATCCTCAAGCGCACAAGAAAGGAAAGTGAACTAATCACGACTAGAGAACAAATCAAGAACAATCTGCGGAAGCTCTAATCAAGGATAAATGGAGGAACCAATTCGTCATGATTAAGTATGAATCTAGTTACCCTTTCAAGCTAAATTCATAAGGCTACACATGGGTCTCACTCTTAGATATATATGCCTCACAAGGAAAGGCCTCCAATAATTGTTGCTATGCGATCCATAAGACAAGGAATAAGACTCATCAAGCTATAAAGGAAGAAGTAGAAGGGCATCGAAGAGCACACAACTTCACATCTATTTCTACACCTTTCTAGTTCTTAGTACAAATACTGTATTGCCGAGTCTACAAATATCGCAAAAGATAGGAAGAGTTAGAAAATAAAATAAGAGTTGTGTCAACATTAGAAAGAAACATTGTTGTTGTATATCGTTGGTAATAAACGTACTAAAACCATCACTGTTGTAAACGCTTACTGAAGATCTAAGAGAACCTTGTGACCCAAGGGAACTGGACGTAGGTACCACACCGGTACTAAACCAGTATAAAAACTGTTACGCCTCCTTTACTTTTCTGTTTGCTCAGTTATTTCTGCTGCGATTAATTCCTGAGTAAAGTCTAGTCGATTAATTTCCTACATAGTCAACTAAGTTTTACAAATCGGCTAATTCACTCCCCCCCTCTTGGACTTTCAACTTCCACGTTCGCTTTTCCCGACACGTCGTTGAACTTGCACTCCAAATATTCCGTCTTGGTCAATTAATTAGGGAAAATGACATCCAAAAATTTTCACCCAATGTCCCTTCATGTCCTATGTTTAACTTTGATCCCTGTTTTTTGTCAGTTTTAGTTAACGATATAAAATTAAGAGGTTTCAAAGCTATGTCCAAGTTATGCCCCGTGATTGATGCTCCCTCCTGTCTACTTTAAGTGTTTTTTTGGAACTTTTTTCACATATTAAGAAATTCACCTATTAGTATTAGTTAACAATGAAATTGATCATATTAACTTAATTTGCTCATTGAAAATATAACAAATTACTCCTAGGCATTTTACTCAAGGGCAACTTTGAAAAAAAAAAGTTAATTCCTTCTTGATATCTGAAAAAATCAAATATTGTGGAACACAAAAAAGGCAAAAAAATCACTTAAAGTGGACCGGAGGGAGTAAAAGCTATCCAACTTAAAGTGGACCGGAGGGAGTAAAAGCTATCCGGGTGACATAATTTTAAACAAATAATGTTGTGTTGTTAGAGGAAATGAGTTTTCATGGTCATTTACAATCTTTTTAAATTTTTATGTGTAAAAGTAAATCTCTCATGTGTAAAAAAAAGAAAGAAAGGATCATAAAATTAAAAATAAATTTGTAGAGACCCACAAAACCAGGATCAAATGGATACTCCATCAACTGCGTCTTGTAAAATTTAATTAAATAGAACAAAAGTTAAATAAAGGCAAGAAAATCCCAAAAAGAAATTCAATACTGCATCGTTTCGTTTTACGCGTGGGAGATTCAAAAATATTTAGTTGGCCTTCCTTTTTCCAAAAGCAATTATGGAAGTTTTGGAGACTTGCCATAAGCAAGCTCTCTCGCCATGCCATACGTTCTCTGCTTACCTTCCTTAATTCAAGCATTCAATACAAAGCCAAACCCTTCTCTCCTCTTTCTCCTCCTCTCTCACAAACCCTAATCATCGGAAAAATGAGGTGACAGAGAAAGGTAGCCACAATGGGCAAAAAAAAGTACAAATTCTACGAATTAATCCTCCTCTGCTACCTCCTCTTCTTCCTCCTCATAGCCACAATTACCTCCGCCGATGATGGCTCCGCCGGCGATGCAGCCGTCATGGCTAAATTGGCTAAGTCTCTTGCGCCAACTCCAACCGGCTGGTCAGGTCCCAACGTATGTAAATGGCCAGGCGTTTCATGTGACTCTTCAGGCAGAGTTTCTTCAATTAGCCTTATATCAAAATCTGTTGCCGGTGAATTACCACCAGATCTTAACCAGCTTTCTAGTCTTCAATCCCTTAATCTCCAAAGGAACCGTCTTTATGGTTCGTTGCCTCCTTTATCAGACCTTTCTTCTCTTCAAGAAGTTCATCTTGATAACAATAATTTTACGTCCGTTCCTCCTAATTTCCTTAAAGGGTTAACGAGTTTAGAACATTTTAGCATTGATGAAAATCCCAGTCTTCCTCCGTGGACGATCCCTGATAGTTTAACGGACTCATCATCCTTGGCTGATTTTTCAGCGTCTAATGCTAATATCATGGGTCATATTCCAGATATTTTTGGGTCGTTCCCTAGTTTGGAGAATGTGAGGCTTTCGTATAATAACATAACGGGGTTTTTGCCGGCGTCTTTTGCTAACTCTGGGATTAAAAACTTGGTGCTTAATAATCAAAAGAATGGACTTTCAGGTAGGATTGATGTTCTTGGTTCAATGGAACAGTTGACTCAGGTTTGGATCCATGTTAATAAGTTTTCGGGCCCAATTCCTGATCTTTCTCTTTGTACTAATTTGGTTGATCTTCAACTTCGCGATAATACCTTAACTGGGGTGATTCCTGCTTCTTTAACTTCCCTTCCTAAGCTGGCTAATGTGTCTTTGCAAAATAACATATTTATGGGCCCAATGCCGGTTTTTAAAACAGGTGTTCAGGTGAGTCTTGGGAATATGAACCATTTTTGTAATCCTAGTCCAGAACCATGTGATCCACAGGTAACTGTGTTGCTTGAGGTTGCTGGAGCTGTGGGTTATCCAATGAGAGTGGCTGAGTCTTGGGCTGGTAATAATCCTTGTAAAGGTTGGGACTTTGTTACATGCGATCCTAAGGGCAGTGTGATTGTAATCAATTTTGCTAAACAGAATTGGGTTGGTACAATATCTCCTGCTGCTGCTAATCTCACTGCTTTGAAACAATTGGTCATGAGTGATAATAATCTCACTGGTCCTATTCCAGCTAGCCTCACCAGCTTACCAGAGCTGCAGCTTGTCGATGTTTCCAACAACAATATTTCTGGGAAGATACCAAAATTCCGTCCCGATGTCATAGTGAAAACATCTGGTAATCCATTTATGGGGAAAGATTTGCCACCAAGTTCTCCACCCGGAAGTCCTAGTTCGCCTGGTGGGACAGATAATCCGTCTTCTCCAACAATAGGTGCACATAAATCTTCCGTCCCTACGTGGGTGATTGTTGCTATTGTTATTGCTGCTATCATCTTAATCCTAGTTTTGTGCTTGGTGATATATAAATACAAGCGTAATGGGAATTCAAAATTGAGTAAAGTTAAGACAGGCAAGGAGCAAAAACTGAAGAACAATTCCCCTAAAAATGTGAATGGTTATGGTGCTATTCCAAGCACGGCCAGTCAAAGTAGTGCTGCAAATAGTGAAATCTATATATATGATGGTGGGAATGTAACAATCCCAGTGGAACTTCTGCGAGAGGCGACAGACAATTTCAACGAAGAAAATATATTGGGACGTGGCGGTTTTGGGATTGTTTACAAAGGTAAACTCCATGATGGGACAGAGATTGCTGTGAAGAGGATGGAAGCTTCTATAGCTAGTAACAAGGGGCTGAACGAATTCAAAGCTGAAATTGAAGTACTCACAAAGGTTAGGCACAGACACTTAGTTGCACTTCATGGGTTCTGCGTCAATGGATATGAGAGGCTTTTAGTTTATGAGTACATGCCACAAGGGACATTAGGCCAGCACTTGTTTGATCATGAACATTTGGGATTTCCACCTCTCACTTGGAAGCAAAGATTAATAATAGCACTAGACGTGGCCAGAGGGGTCGAGTATCTGCATGGTTTGGCACAACAGAGTTTCATACATAGAGATCTAAAGCCTTCTAACGTACTTCTTGGGGATGACATGAGGGCTAAGGTCGCCGATTTTGGATTGGTTAAAAACGCACCTGATGGGAAGTACTCCGTCGAGACGAAGCTAGCAGGAACTTTTGGGTACCTTGCACCAGAGTATGCTTGTATGTACCACACTCCTTTACTATTGCATGAACTAGTTTAATTTAAACCACTAACACACACAGAACAAACAAAGGAACTACGCAACAACTAGCTTAACTATCCCTAATAAAACAAGCTAAGTATTTTGGATATTCATGTTTGATTAGGAATATGATCATGTATGTTCTTGATGCATGTTCAGTTTACAAATGCTAAGTATCTACAATTTATTCTCATATATATCTTTGTCTGTTGAAACTAGCCACTGGAAGAGTGACTACAAAAATTGATGTCTTTGCATTTGGAGTGATGTTGATGGAGATGATCACTGGCAGAAAAGCACTAGATGAAAACCTGCCCGAAGACAGAAGTCATTTAGTCCCTTGGTTTAGAAGGATGGTAATGAACAAAGAGAACATTCGATACATTCTAGACCCATCCGTGGATCCAGACGAGGAAACTTACCAAAGCATCTGCAAAGTAGTAGAGCTAGCAGGACACTGTGCTGCTAGGGAACCATCTCAGAGACCAGATATGGGCCACGCAGTGAGTGTCTTAGCTCCTCTGGTAGAGCAATGGACTCCAACTGCATCTAATGGAGATGATAGTTTCAATATTGACTTCAATATGAGCCTTCCTCAAGCCCTGCAAAGATGGAGAGCTAACGAAGATTCGATGCTATCTGAAGACATGTATGGTGACTATACCACATCCTCAAGGACTTCAAAGTCCATAACAGCACTTAGGAAGGTGTCAGAGTGAGACAAGTACGTTTAGTTATACAAAGGAACACCAGTGGATTAAAGCGAGCAATGTAAAGATACTTAATTGTGAGGAAGGGACATGTATATTAATGCCAAGGAACCCAATGACATAGAGAGACACTTTTCTGTCTCAGGTTTTCATTTTTTCTCTATCTAATTATTCTTACTGTTCATAACATCTAGTTTCTACTTTTGTAACATAAATCTCGGATCAAGTAGACATTTGGGTTTATAGATTTTGATTTTCTGACAAGAATTGACAATGATGCTGGAGAGGAGGAACCACAAAGTTTCATATTATTGACCGACTCTGAATAACATTACTACATTCTCCATTTACGACCGTCTACTTACCCTGAGAGCATAAACTGAAATATAGATTGTCCACATAGCATTTGACCTCCTTCTAAATGAAAACAAAGTTACCACTACGCAACTAATATTCCTTAAAATCTCCTTCATAGCAGCTGTATAAGTGTTCAAAGGTGATGTTTTTTACAAGAGAAAAATAAAAGAATCTGTACTACATCCTTTATACTATGTTTATCCAACAAAACTATATTTGCTTCAACAAAATCTAGATGTAAGTGCCCATGCGCAACCTTAGATAAGTGCATTTACTAGAAAGATTAGTACTGCGTGTTACTCCTATCAATCACTGCAGGTTTCTCTCTTGCCTCCCATAAACGTGACAAGGCACTAATGTCGAGCATTTAAGAACTAAGTACTTCTAGTTTATAAGAGTTGATTAAAGAATTATGTTTTTTCTTAAGTTGTTTCGAATTCCTAAGCTGATCAAATCTTCATTTCTCAACAATGTACTGAAAGAACCAGAAACCCTTGTGGTGGAGTGATACACCTGACAACGTACTTGCTAAGTGATTTCCAGCTTCAATGCCAAAAGGGCAAAAGCCCAGAAAAAAGATTGCGATGCTATTGTTGACAAGGAACCACTAGTAAAAGTTATAAAGAGCAAAAAGGGGGACAACTCAAGGCATCCATTAGATAATTAGCCGATGTAAGTCATTAACAAAAGAGACGCCCTTGTAGGACAATTGTGGTGGTTTTGCTTGCAACTAATCTATATATCTCATATTGTTTTATAAGTTCACTGACAATATATAACTTTTTTGCACCATCAGGTTACGTTGACCTAGAACAACAGGTAACTTCACATAAATTGTAACTTATAAAATAGAATAACAACTTGCTATATCCAGCTAAATTGCATTCATAGTGTAAAAATTCTTCATTGATTGTACATAACTAAAAGTCCTGCTCAATTTGTAAAAAATCACAAATATAAGTGTCATTTAGCATGTACTTGATGGGTCCTAGCAAGTGTCCAAAATTAGGCTGCCAGGGAAGAACAATGCAGAGACATTGCGAGATCACTCAATTTTTCCCTTACGTTGATAATTAAGATGGCTATAAATGCGTGAGCAGACGTGAAGACTTGCAAATAAAAGAAGGTACATCGATGGGAAGGAAATATCAAGCAAGAAAAAAACTGAAGTTACATTCTGCAGTATGATAATACCTCGAGATAAGAAGGTGCAGAATTTGGTCTTGGACTATATGGTCAATGAATGCTCAATCTGGTATTACTCCATTTCAACATCTGACTCACATCCCCAACAGTTGTAGATAATCATTTTCGGAATCCCTATACCAAAGAATAATCACCTCATTTGCTCAAACAATCTCCCTTTTTAATCAACAATTTGGATAAACCTTTCAGGCAATAGAATGGAGAATATTCAAAATGTAAGGTAGAAAAAGATAGTCCGTTAAGCAGATGATGTTCTTGATATATGCTGTAAGAATACTTAATTAGTTGAAGAGTGTATTTAGCCCCCGAAGGCTGATAAGAATTCATACGGCACTTCCTTCCAGCAGACATAGGACAAATAATAAGCTCTTTGTGCCACAGCAGATACTCTGAACCCCTCCCCCTACCCCCAACAATTAAAAAAGGGAAAAATCTGGATTTTCTGAGCAAATAGAAGTATTTACAACCATCAAACTACCAACACCAGTAGGTGTATCAAATTAGTAGATTCTTAGTCCTGATTAAGAAAGTATTCAACAAGGACTTGTAACTCTTGTCATTCATTAACCTATCCCTCTTCTTAAATTCTCAAGACGCTCAAATGCATCATTCCCATCCCATTGCTGCATAATAAATTGTCTAATAGCACCCCAATCCATCCTCTAACCGGCGCGCCCCCCATTGCAACACTCTAAATTAAGATTTATAAATCCTATGTAATGTCCCTCCTTTCCTAATAAAACTTCAGTCCCTGATTCACCCTCCCCTTCTCGCAGAATACTTCGAATCGATTATATAACTACTGTTAATGTAGCTGTATAGGCATTGACCTCACAAAGCCGCTTCATGAAAAACCAGAATGATCTCATCAACCTCAAGACACTTATGAATAGGCCTAACTTATCATATTCAATGCAAATGTATCCTGAATTACCTCATAATTCTCATTTGTTTAGCTAACAATACAACAGTGTGTTTGGGATCGAAATAACAACGCGTCGAAAGTTAATAACCAAACATGGGTAACGATAAATCAGACAAAATAAAAAAGAGAATTATAAGACTAAAAGATGCATATGATTTTTTCCATTGACCTACATAAATTTACTAGTATAAAAGAAAAAAGAAAAACCTTCCAAACGAATAATTTTTCCCCCTAAACAAGGCTCTCTTAATGATTAAATTGTGGATGTTATTGTGTGTCATTGCGTGAGAAAGAAGTCTCAATTTTAAAAAGTACAAAACTTCTTCCTCCGAGAAAAGAAATATGAAAAAGTCTTTTTCTACCCAGAAAACCTTTTCTTTTCCACCAAGAGAAGTAATTCTAATCATGGTAGAAAATTAGGGGAAATGCTAACACATGTATATACACAAGAGTGGAATAATTAGTCTTAGCATAAGATCTCGCATAAGATAATTAATACAGTGTTTGCTTAGTTACATATAAAATAAATATCACATTATATATTTTTTTGATGTGAGATAAAATGTGAAATAAGAGTAAACGTATTAGCAATACATATATTAAAATATTTAAAGATAAAATTCTTTTAAAGTAAGTAATCATGTATAACAATCCATTCATTATCAATCTACTCATAAGCAATTTTATATTAAAATATAATATGTGAACCAACGACCTTTAATGTAATGATGAATGGTTGGAAATTATAGAAAAATATAAGGATTAACAATCATATCTATCTAAATAATGGAGAAATAATAGACTTATGCACATTTTTGGTTAAATAAGAACTCTAGTCATCCGAGTGTGAACGGATGAATTATTCATAATCATTCAATACACAATGATGTGACATGAGAACCAACCTTTTGCATGCGTCGTTCTCTTTGCCTTTCGTTTTCTTCCAAATTCATGAGGTTATCATAATCCACTTGAAATTATCGTATTTAATATTGTCTCTTCTATATCTCATCTAGGATCATATCTAAATAAAACAAAATGAACAGTATATGTAAAACCACCTTACCAGTTTTGCAAGCCAATTGAATAAGCAACAACAACAATCCAGTATAATTTCACTAGTGGGGTCTGGGGAAGATAGTTTGTACACAGACCTCTGCCCTCAGTTTTGCAAGCCAATTGAATAAACAACAACAACAACCCAGTATAATTTCATTAGTGGGACCTTACCCCTACCCTAGGGTAGAGATGTTGTTTTCGATAGACTCTCGGCTCCCTCCCTCCAAGAACTCCCACCTTGCTCTTGGGGTGACTCGAACTCACAACCTCTTGGTTGGAAGTAGAGGGTGCTCACCACTGGAGCAACCCACTCTTCTGTCAAGCCAATTGAATAGATAAAAAATAAAAATAAAAATTTGTCCGGTCATATAATCATTGTGTTATTGATTATAGTTTTTTTTCTCTCCTTAAATTCTTCTGCAAGTCGACATGTGCAGTGCACAGCTCAATTTTGTAGGAAATTCACCGGAAGGTTACGTTGATTTTCTCTTTCGAGCCCCTGTCCTATTACTACATTCCCTGAATTAAGAAGTCTTCTTTCCAGAAATTAAATGAGCTAATAGTCAGGGAAAACAGTTATTTTACATCCTTAATGTGTTAAGTTTGACTCGTTCTAGGGGTTCATGGTTGGAATCTATTTTTCCCTAAAAAGAAATCAAACCAAATCAAGTAAATTGGTTCTTCAAATAATATTGGAACCAAACCAAACCAATTACGTCGGTTTTTATCGGTTTTTTGATTTTTTCGGTTATTTATCGAATTTTTTCTTAAAAATGAAACATACACTACCAAACATATATTCCGGCGAGTACATTTTTAACGTAACACTATCAAATCAATTGCTCTTTGAGTTATCTATCTTTTACCAAAATATATTGATAATAATTGAATCAAATACTGATGAATGATTTAATTACTCAATTAAAAATCGATTATTTTTAACATGAAATAAATTCTTGTACTTAGCAAAAAAAAAAAAACTACCAATCAAACTAGAATATAAAAACAAAGAATTAGATTATTATTGTGATGACCCAAAAGGTCATCTTATGTTTTAGAACTCGAATCTGCGCTCTTAAACCTTAAAAATCTCATTTTTACCCTCCTCGATTTGCGTGCGCAGTCCGGGCAGGTTTTTCGCATTTGCGAAGGGAAGCAGGATTGTGAAGGCTTCGCAATTGCGATAGCCCCTTCACAATTGCGAGCTTCGCACTCAGGTCGCAAATGCGACGTTTGCAGCTGAACAAAATAACTTTTGGACGGGAATTTTCATTCATTTCCCAAATTTTCAAGACCTAAAATATAAGAGGCGCTTTTTCAAATACCATCTCTTCCCCAAATCATAGGTAAGTGATTCTAAACTGGGTTCTTTCAATCTTTCACTATATTTTACAAGATTTCAACCTAAATTCTAAGGTTTTCATGGTAGAATAAG